ATCAGATGCGTGAGATTTATCATTCGTGGATGTGTTGTCAGTGTGGGAAATACTGTTTTAAATGGATATATAAATACACGTTTTATGATTGTGGACGAAACGGTATGTGCATCTCAAGAAAGCTTTGCTTCGGAACTGTCCCGTCGCCATTAAAAATCCAACATCTGTTTCACCGTAGTGATCTTGAAAAATAATCCCTGGATGATAACAGGCATTACAGATACCTGCCGTCGTATGAATCCTGAAAAATAATATTTCACCGTATCGCAACAGGTCAGTACTAAAACTAACACTTAATACAGTATTTCAACATTGTGCTGCAAAACTGAACGATGACCAACAATTAAACACATCGTAATATATTAACATCGCACGTGAAATTAGATGTTTGACAACAAAATTTAACACCTTGTGTAATTGGACACCTTGACTAATTTTTAATCACGGCTTGGGAAATTGAACGGTCCAACTAATTGTTGAACAGTCTTGCTAATTAGACGGGACGCTTATAATTCAACACGTGTCGAGAAACTAAACACTAGTTAATTAGACTTAGACGCTTGGTAATCAAAATTAAACAGTGAGAGTGAAATTTGATAGAAGTACAAATTGAGCACAGTTAGCCGAAATTTAACAATATTTATGAATAATTGTACACCGAGTAGAAATTAGCGCTATTTACGCAAGATTAAACGGTACCAAGGTTACAGTGTAATTTATCAAATATCACAATAAACAAATATTATCTTGATAATTTATACGTGTGTCTTAAGCAGTCAAATTTTGAATACTTGGTCCTAGAATCATCGCTTGATGCCACATTTTTGTTACTAACGTTGGTGATGGAGATGGTATACTATTCAAAAAAAAGTAGGGGATATTTGATTTTGGGGGCATAATACTAAAATATGCAAATGACTACGAAAAAAGTCACTATAGTACCTAACAGAAGAAACATTTCCAGTTACATGTGACGCCCAAACGCACCAATAGCTACAGCATGGAATGCAGGTGATGCTTGGGATCATCATTGGGGGTCCAACCCAAGATTTGCACGACTCTGACTTTGAATGTTACAGTCATTGTGGCATTGAATTCCAGGGTGGAAACATCAGTTTAATTGTTTTAGTGACCAGAAAACAAATTTTGATATGCGTCGGCTTACCCAAAATGAAAGGTTACGTGCCCTTGGCATGCTACAGATCGGCACAACACGGGCGGTTGTGGCGCGGACGATGAATGTTTCTCAGTCTGTCATAAGCAGGCTATGGTCCAGATACCGTGATACACAATCTGTACAGGACAGACCACGCTCAGGTCGACCAAGGGCAACAACTCAAGCGCAGGATCGATTTATCCGTACCTTGGCCTTGAGAAATCGTGTCATCACAGCAAATCAGATCAGCGCTCGTCTTCAAACAGACACTGGTGTGAGAGTGGGTGGCCAGACGATTCGGAATCGACTGCATAGGGGTCACCTTCGCGCCCGACGTCCTCGCGTGATCCCTTGTTTGAGAGATCATCACATTCAGGCAAGACGTCGTTGGTGTAGGGATCGTCAACACTGGGATAATCGACGCTGGAGCAATGTGATGTTTTCAGATGAGTCAAGGTTCACTGTTGATTTTTTGGACAGACGTAGGAGGGTGTGGCGTCGTCGAAACGAGCGCTTCCAAGACGTTAACGTCATCAGACATGATCGATTTGGGGGTGGTTCTGTTATGGTGTGGGGAGGCATCACTGTTGCTGGAAGAACGGCTTTACATGTTGTTGCAGGGCGTGTTACAGGCCAGTACTACCGGGACAACATCTTGGCAGTCCATGTTGTGCCGTTCGCACGACGTCATGGCCGCCGTTTCATCTTCCAGGATGACAACGCAAGATGTCACAGGGCCAGGATCGTTACAGGTTACCTCCAACAACAGAACATCACCACATTACCTTGGCCAGCACTGAGTCCCGACCTCTCCCCCATCGAGCATGTCTGGGACATGCTTGGACAGAGGTTACGTCAACGTCAACAACGTCCTGCCAATGTCCAAGAACTTGCTGCTGCGTTGCAACAGGAATGGGACAATCTGGACCAAAATGACCTTAGACGTCTCATTAGGAGTATGCCACGTCGGATCAATGCTTGTTTGGCAAACAGAGGAGGATTTACCCGTTACTGACTTGGTTGTGATGCTGTGGTAACTTTGCTGTTTGACCCCGGGTATCATTTTACCATTATAATGGTCAGTCTGTGCCTTACTTAGTCTAACGATCATTTGGAATAAATCGATGAATGTGAACTTCATTTCATTTTGTCATTTGTTTCTTCGTCAGTTTCATTAGGTGACTTTAATAACACTTAAAAATCAAATATCCCCTACTTTTTTTGAATAGTATACTTAATAATGCTATTTTTACAGATGAATTCAATCCTATCAATAGAATCTTGTACATTAGTCGAAGTAAAATATTGATCAATGATGATAATATGTAAACACAATCGGAAGCGTTCGATAATCTACTTTTTGATATTTATAAGACAGTGACAGATGCGACTGAGGTAAATACCGTATTTTACGGGGTATATGTCGATGAGGGGTATAAGTCGAATCGTCATATTTTACTGTTTTTCTGACCTCCGTCGATAGATAAGTTGAAGCGGTGTAGTGTAAGACAAATGTTTTTCCGTTCATTTCGGGCAGTAATCTTTTAACTTGTCGAGTTACAGCAGTGTTTTTATCCTAGTCTAATACTGTGCCGATGTTTGTAAACAAAATCAATTAATGTAAAATAATTAGCTGCTAAATGTAGGATTAACTTGAGTATTATTCTAAGTTTTGTTCTTGATTCATTTGAACTTTTATATTATTCCAATATCTCCGAAAATACAAGACAATACACGGTTTCTATTTGCACGTGACTGGCGATCACACAGTGTTACTAATAATAGAATAAAATAAAATAGAAGGCATCTGTTGAGTGGACAATAAAAAAATAATTACAGGCTTTTAAAGTAGAATTTTTATGATTGGTTAATTTAGTTGAAAACCAAAGTAGAATTCTTGCGAGAAATTGTGAGAGATAGAGATAAATTTCTTGTCGGCAGAAAGATTATATCTTAATGACATTTTCTAGCCTTTCTTGAATGTTGGTTATATTTTTTTAAAAAGTTAAACAAACTATATATATTTAGAAACTCTGACAAGTATTTGTATAGGAATAACAATAGCAAAAGTCGGAACAATGTGAGTTGACTTTGCCGTGAGAGTGCTATTATTTTGATATTTAGCAAACGATGTCACTCAACATTGTACTTCGTAGGCAACAGTTACAGAGAAAAAAACATTTTTTGATCTCCTTTTGTTTACCTTCATCGATATATGAGGTGATGCAGACTATAAGACGAAGGTCCAACTTCGGCCGCGGAAAAAGTATCGACTTATACTAGTTATACCCCGAGAAATACGTAACTGTCCAACCTTGACCTTGCCAAACAACCGTTTCTCAATTTCAAGTATAATTGTCATATCGCGATAATTTTGGTTATCACGATATACCGGTTTTTCGATATATTTAAAGAAGTCCGATATGATAAAGTTGTTGATGATTTTATCACAATAGAACGAAAAACCGGTATATCACCCAGCCACTGTCCGGGCAAAATTAACCGCATAGCACACTGTATTGTGTATGCCCGCCTTCATTAGCCCAGTCAGAGCAGAACAGTAGGACGTTAAACTCAATTTCATTTCATTTCATTTCTATTGTGTAGTTTAAATGCACACGGTGAAATATGATTTTACAATCTATTACTACATCTGACCATCAAGCATAAAACAGCTAGAAATCGCACAACCAATTATCTACAGATACAGCAAAATACAGTATGTGTCCATCAGGCATTGATTTTTCATAAAACAGAATGTTTCTGTGAAAATATAATAAAAGATGAATGAAACAGAGTATTTTGTGGATGCTGTTAAAAAACCCCGCAATAATACCATTGATAATTGTATATTTCTGCGGTCGCTGGACTTCACCATCATGATGACAATGGGAATATCGATTAAGGTCCCCACTTTCTAAATATCATAGTTTGACGTCATAGACTTTATGTACCGATCAACGTACAGTGCACTCTGTCACATCCGACCTCTGATCAGTCCGGCACTCTGTTACATCCAACACAAGTGTTGTAGCCCGAAGTACTCATTTTCACTTGATTTTCACTATTTTTGGGATTGAGAGAATTCAATTCCGGAACGTTCAATCGAGTAAGCCCATTATCAATGAACACGTGATAGCAAAGACAAGGGTGCGATCAACTGAAGACGGCGAAGAAGATAAATTAATGACAGACTTGACCTATTCAAAATGCCTACGCATGTTAAATGAAATAAAAATGTTATAAAATTTTGAATGTACAGAGAGGTTTATCATTTTTAAAGGGAATAACATTCTGGTGATTCGAAGTTCTATGTTCGAAGCTACATTATAATAATACTTCATGTTTTCAAAGTTACAATATTTCCGGCTTTGAGAAAACTGGGCATTCCGACACTCTGCGTAATCCGACATATTGTAATGATCCTGTACGATGTCAGATACAGAGTGCACTGTAGTTAAATTTAACCATTGTTAAAGATTTCCTATAATTGATTTCAGAGTTATAACTTTTCATCACTTGATAAAGATATCCAGTTGATGACTGTGTTTATGTTAACGAGGTGACGAATCCTATTGGTTTTCAATGATCTGATAATTTGAGTTCTGTCTTGATCACTGTTTAAAATCGTGTGGACACTATAGAGGCTAAAGTTATCATTGGATTGGCTTGAAATTTGACTCTTGATCGGTCTTGAGTCTGTTTTTAATGCTCATATTACATACAATGCTCATATTACATACAACAGTATAAATATGCCAAAACCTTTGTGGATTGCTCGGACGACTTTGGGTGTAATGTGTATGTTTTGTTACCTGACAACCTTCTTTGTTTTGTTTTTTAGGTTATCCAAGCTTTAATAGATACATCAGAAGGTGATTTAAGAAAAGCTATCACCTATTTACAGAGTGCCTCTTCCTTACACCAAGATGAAACCCAAATTACACAAAGTGATATCTTTGAAATATCAGGGGTAGGATTTAGAGGCAGGACCTTTTTATACACCCACATTGAAATGTGGTCTTATATTGATACACAATGTTTAAGGTCATCTGACAAAGAAGCCTATTGATTTTCAATGATTTCTGATAATTACTGCCAGAGTTATGGCCCTTGATTACTTTGAAAAATCTTGTGGATGCTCTAGAGGCTATAGTTGATATCAGATTGACTTTAAATTTATACACAGTGTTTATGGTCACGAAGTTTCCACGATTTGCAATAAAGGCTGCCAGAGTTATGGTCCTTGATCACTTTGAAAAATCTTGTGGATGCTCAAGAGACCAAAGTTAATCATCGGATTGATTTATACACTGTGTTTAAGCAGGACTAGAAATTCGTCATTTTTTGCGAGAATCTAAGAGGATACCCATATATGCAATCTGCGCAAATCCTCCTACTCTTAATTAATAATACAATCTGATTCAAACACAGATCCAATTTCGTTTCGTTTTTTATAGTTCAAAATTTAGTTTTTACTTGTCTTTACTAAATTTGGATCTGGAAGACTTGTTATATAACTCATGTTCTGCTTGAAATGAGGGGTCAGCCAATCAAATGGTCTGTCGAATCGAGCGTTTGACCTTTTTTGCGCGGAACTGTGGGTAGACATTACCAGCGATAGAAATCAAAACAAAGCAAAAGTAGATTTTAAAAAGCATGGTGGTCGCTAATTGGTTAATCGAATGACTGACGTTATCGGGTCAAATGTCGCTTGCTTGGTACCTGACGTCATAGAACGTGAACTCCCACTATAACTTGTTAGATCTACCTGTAGTGTAGGCCATCGAAAGTATAAAAAACGAAACAAAATATAGATCTATATTTTAACTAGAACTGCGACGCAGTAATGACGGGTTTCACTGGTGCCACGTTACCCTTGAACTTGTGTCACTTCCGTTGCCATGTTATCCGTGAACTTATGTCACTTCCGGTATCAATGAAACCGTTAAACAGATTTCCACATAAGCATTGCACAAATAGACGCAGAATCAACCAAATCTAGCAATATCAATTGTATCTATACATTTGTTACCATGTGTTACATATGTCAAAAAAATGATCCTGACAAAATTTATTTCTAACTTACCGATAAGTTAGCTAACTTTCTAATGGGAAATTAAAATGGGAAAAAAATCTATAAAAGTCATCCTGACAAAATTGGTTATTTCTCGACAAGGGAAAGATACTAGAAGCCATTTTTGAACATCTATATGATCGTATTGATCCAATCTATATGTCCAATGGAATCAAATATCAAAATTGTTAAACGAATAATAAATATAACTCACTTCAAAAAAATATTTGTTTTGAAAGCTTAAAATACAGTTTTTGCCCAAATGACATTACTTCTGGTGAGAATGAAAATGTTAAATTAGTTTTATCAACTCAGAAATGGCATACGGCATCGCATGGTGAAAATTTTATGAAATTCGAATAATAATTGACACTTTTATTAGGGTGACCCATGCACTCTACAGAAAGTTGGTCTCGACACGGCTAATGTGCAGACTTCAGTGGTAGTCTCGAACTATCAGCGGTGGATTGTATGATACTATAAATAGCCATGGGACGTGCAATTCTCTACAAATCTATCAACTATTACAGCCGTAAAAAATCTATTGTTGACGATTTTGAATAGCAGTAAAATTTAGTTTCTTGGTTATTACAGCAGCTTTAGAAATTACGTTCGTTTTATTTTTTAAATTGCTTTATCATTAATTGTACCGTTAAGAGCGGCATCTTTTGGTTTAGTACAAATAGTATCTCTGAATCACTTTCGTTAGCAGGAACATGATACTAGCAGTAGTTTCATTTTACTTTTACAAGCTTCTTAAAACAATTGTTGAGCTGGCTAACATGCGTTTTTCTAAATTCAATTTCTTGTTCCAGCTTTCTGTTATGTTTCATAAAAAGGTAGTCTTGATTATCCCGACCTGTCAATCAGACGTAGAATGGTCGGTACGCTGGTTAAGCGAGACTAATTTCAAAACAAGGGCAAGTAACCTATCTTTTACTCAAAATGGACGAAACTTGGAACCAGTTTCAGTCTATTATTTATAGATCATTAAATGGTCATAGCTTATTAAGTACAACATGATCGTTTATTTAGTGACTGTAATTGTGTGAAACTGATTTAAGGCTTGGTATATATATCAATATTGTGGCATAATTGTCAAGATATTGGAGATATTTATTTATGGTGGGTCACCCTACTTTTATAGACCCAAAACCTTAAAAAGTGACTTGTAGGAAATAGTCTATTTCTCTGCAACCGTACAAGTTAGAAACTATTGTGTGGTATCTGTATGATTGTATGGGTTTATTCTATTTGTTGATTGAAATTAAATATCATACTTTTCAACAAATAATATATATGACTCATTTGAATAAAATTCCTAAACGCAAAGCACACAGACGTATCAACTAACCAGTTTTTTCCTTGATACTCAAAGATTTATGACCTTCTCCCGATCTCCCGCACGGAAGGCTATTTCTCACGGTAAATGTTCATAATTATGCCAATGCTAGTTTTACTTTCAAAAAGGGAGGTAACCCCCTTACTTCCGTTGTATAAATCGACCTCATGATTCTTATTCCGGTAGTATGCTTGTGGGTTAATAAAAGTATATTGTAATCAAGGAGTAGTAATAGCAGAGTACATGAGCGTACCTAATAAAATAGAGAACTGTACTGACTGTACAAGGTCCGTTCCCTTGCTGTCATTTTTCCTCATGGCTAGTAGTAAACGTCTATACAATTTTGACAGTTCTCCCGTGATCAGAAAACGTTTCATGCTACGTGACTTGAGCATGAAATTTAGCTGACTTTCAATCTGCGATTTTAGATTACTTTTTCGTTCAAATATATTACTAGCGGTTGTATTATAATGCTTTGATATCGATCTCAATATACGAAAATAGTCTGGACTTAAAAGTTATAGAAATATAATCGCCACTACTGTTTATGTGGGAGGCACTTGCGGGAAAATAAAACTCTGATGTCACGTTTCCAGGGATTTCCATTCACGCGATTACACCCATAATTAGAAAACAGGATTTATCGGTTTTGCAGACTGAAATTTGCTAATTCCGAATAAATTGTTACGATTTTATAAGTTTTAGCAAAGCCTAAACTAATATTCACGGACTTCAGTTTTAAAATTGGTAGACTTGCAGTTCTATAATAAGGCTTATCTTAAGACTTTACTCAGATATGACTGAAAAGCACTTCTTTGGATTATTAAAGTTTTTTTGGGTAGATTTTTTATGTATATTTTCACAAAATGTTTTAAAAAAAACTTTCTGTCATTTAAAATATTGACCCGAAATGCACCTAACGCCATAACACACTCCCCACCCTTCTGTTTGCCCGCAGTTTCAGGCCTGAGGCCCTAAACATTTGCTGCCCCTTACTTTAGCAAAATTTCCTGTTACTTGAAAAGTTAGTGACATCCCTGCCTTAAATGGAAATAAACAAAATGGCCAATATGTTCTTTTCGAAGAGAATTTTATTGATAGCTGAATTACGTTTACCGTCGCTTCTTCATACGGCATGCAAAGTAAGGAATGCATTTGGGATATTATTGTTTAAAATTCTCTTATCACAATGGGTCGAAAAAATGAGAACGACCAACGAGCTGAAATGCGACGATTCTCGAGTCTGCCATTGATTATCCTCTGAATAATGTTGATATTTACATCAAAGCCAAAATGCACGAAAGTGAACGTAAGCATTGACTATGAAATTGACATTTCTATAGGGACTCATATTTTGATAACATCACGGTACCTGAAATTAATAATAGACCTATCGTACACGCAAAATCTTATTTTAATTCACATGTTAAATGAACACGAGTACAGCTGTTGCGGCTTCTTTGATGATAATCCAATCAACAATCTTAATATCCTGACCACTAGCTGGCACTAAGGTGCTAATAAATTATATTAGGCAACACAAATAAAGTAAGTTGTTTCTCGGGCACCGCCCGCACGCAAAATTGGTTGCGCGTGCGGCCTATTTATTAGTCTTGATGAAAAATAAAAAAAATGTAACGCCCGCCAGAACATCGATAAGCAAGTCATAAAAAGAATATGCCGCATGTACCTACATGCGTCATACTTGTATATCCATTCAAATGTATTAACCTGATTCAGATGTAAATGCTCATTTACAGGTCGTTTTTATTGATATCGAAAGAACCTCCATTTTTGTATCACGTGATTTTAATTACCTCCCCTGGTTAACTAGAATTTGATTCGTGTTAAACACCGAAAGTCATTGACAACAATGCAATGTATTTCAATCATTCGATATTAATCGGCTCACTATTGCCGGCTTCAGTCGGTCCATGTTTGAATAATCCTACTTATAAAACAATGAATCGTAGAACAGGTTAATTATTACTTGTGGCTACGAATATGATACGATTATAGTCACCATACCTTAGTCAGAATCTGGGTCATTAGCACATAACGGTAGTTTTGATAATCCGGAAAATAATAATTGGATTACACATTAAATGGTTTTACTGACCAGTTGTTAGTTAAATTTAAATAGTCATTCGATATTTAACTCCAGATAGAACACCGAATATCCTGAGAAACACACCAAATATCCTGAGAAACAGTCATTTCACAAATCCCGATGACACGTGACATGCATTGGTTGGAATTAGGTCAAACCAGCGATACTAGATTTAGTTCTAAGTGTCGTTTACCGTGATGATTATTTTTGATACACATGATGACAGAAGCTTACTCTTTAAATTATTTTTGTTATTATGGACGGCTATTAATAGTCGTACGGAATGTTATTTTAAACCAATTTCAATTATGGTTGTTGTCACCATTACCATTTGTAAGCTACATTACGTGAAATAAATATGGAAAATTATTTTCCTTTCAGTCAGTGTTCAGTGTTTGAGTAGACTTGATTTTGGGGTTTATGTTCTAAGTATGTACAATATAT